TGGCAGTATGGCAGGATCATGGTAGTGATCATGGCAGTATGGTAGTGATCATGGCAGTATGGCAGGATCATGGTAGTGATCATGGCATTATGGCAGTGATCATGGCAGTATGGCAGGGATCATGGTAGTGATCATGACTGTATGGCAGTGGTCATGGCAGTATGGTAGTGATCATGACAGTGTGGCAGGGATCATGGTAGTGATCATGGCAGTATGGCAGTGATCATGGCAGTATGGTAGTGACCATGGCAGTATGGCAGTGATCATGGCAGTATGGCAGTGATCATGGCATTATGGCAGTGATCATGGCAGTATGGTAGTGATCATGACAGTATGGCAGGGATCATGGTAGTGATCATGGCAGTATGGTAGTGATCATGACAGTATGGCAGGGATCATGGTAGTGATCATGGCAGTATGGTAGTGATCATGACAGTATGGCAGGGATCATGGTAGTGATCATGGCAGTATGGTAGTGATCATGGCAGTATGGTAGTGATCATGACAGTATGGTAGTGATCATGGCAGTATGGTAGTGATCATGGCAGCAAGGGAGGGCAACACACCACCATGGAAGCTTTTACAGCCAGTTATGAAACACTAAACAGGGATGACGAGTGGCGGGGGCGAGGCAGGGGAACCGGCCGGAACATGTGAACACCGGAGCCTGTGAACACTTGAACATGAGAATAATTGAACATGTGAACACTTGAACGTCGCACAATTGAACGAGTGAACAATTGAACACGTGAACAGCTGAACATGTGAACACTTAAATATGCGAACAATTGAACGAGTGAATAATTGAACACGTGAACAGCTGAACACCTGAACATGTGAACACTAAAATATTTGAACAATTGAACGAGTGAACATGTGAACGTGTGAACATATAAACTCGAAAACAAGTGTACGTGTGAAATAATAAATATGTGATCACGTGAACATGTGAGTTATGAAAGAACAAGTGAAGGTGTGAAATTTTGAAAATGTAAACGTGTGAACGAATGAACTACAATTATTGTTTAAACTAATCCAAATTAAGAGATATTAATCAAAAGCCAGAGAGAGAGAGAGAGAGAGAGAGAGAGAGAGAGAGAGAGAGAGTAAAATGAAAATAAATCACTAAATACATTAGCATTATGCAGAAGACCCGACAGCAGCACCCTTATCCACTACCTCCTAAGATGTCCCCACACACAACGCCTGCTGGACCACCACTCCACGACCCCCTGACGGAGACACGATGATCCTCCCCATACTGGCCAGATATTATGTAAATAATATTGATGATGTGTTAAAGGAATATCCTTCCTTCCTTAGGCTTTAGTAAGCTCCTTTATAATATTTATACTGTATATACTTGTGACACTTGCTAGATGCTTCTGGTGTCATTGTACAGGGGTACCTAGTGACAGCACTAGGATCCCGCTTCCTCTATCAAGGAATAAACAATTGAAATTGAGAAAAAAATACAATAAACACAGGAAAAAAAATAAAATAAATAAAACACAAAAATAAAGAAAAGAGATAGAGAAAAAAATAGAAAAACAAAAGAAATATATATATATAGATATAGATATATATGTGTATATTTTCTTGATTCACTTTGATATCAGAAATTCCTTTTATCTCCCACTCTCCTCTGCTGCTACAAACTGCGGCTCAGAAAACTAGAAAAAATGTGGGCTATTTTTTTTTTCTGTTGGTAGTCGAATTTTTCACCCGACACACACGACAATAGAATGACCTTAGGTAAATGTCCTGAGGGGTGAGGGAGGGGTGAAGGGTGAGGGAGGTGGTTGGTGGTGAGGGGAGGGTGGTTGAGAGGAGGGGTTGAGTGGCGAGGGAGGGTGGGAGGGGTGGTGGTGAGGGAGGGATGGTTAGGAGGTGTGAGGGGAGGAGGGGGGTAATGGGAGGAGGGAGAGGGTGGTGGGGAGGGTGGTTGGTGGTGAGAAGTGAGAGGAAGGGGGAAGGGGGTGAGAGGGATGGTTGTGAGGAGGGAGAGGGGTGACAGTGAGAGGGCTGGTAATTCTTTAGTTCTTTTGCCGACAGACAGACACACAAACAGACAGACAGCCACACAGACAGACAGACACACAGACAGACAGACAGACAGCCACACAGACAGACAGACAGACACACAGACAGACAGACAGACACACAGATAGACAGACAGACACACAGACAGACAGACACACAGACAGACACACAGACAACACTGATCACTCCAGCCTCCACCACCGATATGAATAGTAACAAAGAGAATATCCCAAAAAAATATCACAGTAATCCCCTGAATGAGAGTTTGGTCATGTGTGTGTGTGTGTGTGTGTGTGTGTCTCAGTGTGTGTGTGTCTCAGTGTGTGTGTGTCTCAGTGTGTGTGTGTCTCAGTGTCTCCTTCCTTGTTAACGAGAGACAAGGAAACTACCACCGGCTGAATCTCTCTCACCCAATAAACTCCTCACAACAAGGGGTGATTATTGCCTAACGACACAAACTACCCATCACATCACGCGCGCCCTCGTTCCACAACACATCACACCTCTCCCTCCCCCACTGTCACTCCCTCCTCATCTCCCCTCACTGTTCCTCCCCCACCCCCACCCCCTCCCCCTGGGCCAACTCCCTAAATCAGTCGTGTCTGTACATACATTAACACACTGGACGACACAATGGTTCATAACTTATCATTTTCCGCTGACTTGTGTTTTGGGTCGAGTCTCAGCTCAGTTTAGACGTCATCATTTGTTACCTTTGGGATTTATCTTAAGTTTTTTTTAGTAAGATGTGTTGTTAGTTAAGAGGTGAGTGATGAATGTATGGATCGTTGGGGGTTTAGTATCGTACGTGGTGGGGACGGCACGTGTTAATACCAGTATGTGGTATGGAAGAGCACGTGGTAGAGGTGCACTTGGCAGGTGGGATGTGGTAGGAGATGCACGTGGTTCGAGTGCACGTGGCAGGGAGAAGGTGGGGGAAGCTATAGGTAGGGGGGTTAACCTGGCAGGGAGGGGTACGTGGCAGGGAGGGGCACGTGGCAGGGAGGGGCACATGGCAGGGGGTACACGTGGCAGGCTAGTGCACGTGTCGCCTCAGGCAAACACTCACAAAGCTCTTTGTGAAACTTGATGGAGTTAAAACGTTAATTTAAATTGTGAGGCGAGTTATTTGGGTGTCAGCGGGGGGTGGTAGTTGTGGTAGTGGTGGTAATGGTAGTCTACAGTGGCAGTGTTGGTAGTGGTGTTGATAGTCTTGGTAGTGGTGGTAGAAGTTGTGTTATGAGTGGTAGTTGTGGTAGTGGTAATAGAGGTGGTGGTGATGGTAGTGGTGGGATGGTGGTGATTGTGATGATTGTAGTGGTAGGAGCTGTGGTACTATTAATGGTAGTGATGGTAGTGGTAGTAGTTGTGGTATAAGTGGAAGTAGTGGGGTTGGTAGTTGTGGTAGTGGTAATAATGGTGGTAGTGGTGATGGTGTTCGTTGTAGTAGTAGGGTGGGTGGTGGTGATGGTGGTAGTCGTGGTGGAAGTTGTAGTGGTGGTAGTTGTAGTGGTAATTGTGGTAGTGGTGGTAATGTTAGTGCTTCCCCCTTATACCTGTTAGTATTAATTTATGGTAGTTGTGGTAGTAATGGTGGTAGTTGTGGTTGTGTTAGTTCCTCAGTTATTAAAGTTAGGGACTATTTACGCCTGGGTTGACTAGGAGAGCCCCGGGAGAGAACCATCTTCCACAAATACGCCATGATGCATTCCCATTCCCATTCCAGTTATTTTGTATTCCAGTTTCAATTATTAGTTTGATCCCACTCATATTTTTTTCATATTCCCAATCCTATTTTTACTCCGATTCCCATTCCCATTCCCGTTCCCAGTCTTGACGTGCCAGGTCTCCGGCAGTTGTTCCCAGGCCTGAGGGTGATCACGTGACACAATTGGCCTCGTTATTAGCTAGGTGTTGACTGATCCACGCTAACTGCCAATTATACCTTCACCCCTGGCACTACCCCCCCCCCCAGCCCTGGCACCATCCTCCCAGGCCTGGCATTACCCCCTCCTTTCCCTCTCTACCTTTTCTCTCACTACTTTCACTTCCCATCTCTCTTTCTTTCTCCCCCCTTCTTGTCTTTCCCCTTTCTCCCCCTCTCCTCCCTCTCCTCCCTGCCCTCTCTGGAAAAATACGAAAAAGTTGAATATTTGTATCAGAAAGGAAAGCTGATGTCCGCCATGTTCAGCCCCTTCTCCCTCCTCCCTTCTATCCCTCCCTCCCTCCTCCTCCAAGCTCCTCTCTAATCTTTTAACCCTTCTATTTAACCTTTCTCACTTCTCCCCTTTACACTTAACAACACCCTTCCTTTATCCCCCCCCCCTTTTCATCCCTTCACCCTCTCTCTCCCTTCCTTCCCTGTACCCCTCCTTCTATCCTTTCACCCTCTCCCTCCCTCTCCCCCTTCTCCTCTCCCTCTCTCCTCTCTCTCTCCCTCTCCCTCCCCTTTCTCTCCGTCCCTTCCCCTGGCTAACTATGTCTCCCCCTCCCCCTCTCTCTCCCTTCCTCACACTCTCACCCCCTCCCTCACCCTCCCCCTCCCTCACACTCCTCTCACCCCCCCTCAGAATACAATAAAAACAAACAGTAAACAAAAGCAGGGATGTGACAGCTAGTCTCCCTATAACCTTTAAATGGCTGGAATACCGAGGTGGAACAACGGCAATTGGAATGGGAATGGGAATGGGAATATGCTTGTGCTAACGGGAATCTTCTTGGGTGGATATTGTTGAAATTCTTGAAAGGTGAGATAAAGTGGGAATTATTGGAAGTTATCGTTGGGAATCTAGAGGTTAAAGTGGGAATTGTAAGTTAAGGTGGGAATTGGAATTGTCGGTTAATGTGGGAATTGTAAGTTAAAGTGGGAATTGGAATTGTCTTAATTTGGGAATTGGAAGTTAGTGGGAACTGAAGGTTAAAGTGGGAATTATAAGCTTTTAGTAGGAATCGCAAGTTCAGGTAGGAATCATCTTTTGAGGTAACTGGAATGGGAATCCTAGAACGAACATAAAGTGTCCTTGGAATACTGCACTAGGAATGCGTCGGCTAAACCAGGAATGGTCCATCTCTAAGTAAAGCTGAGATACGAATGGCTGGATAAAGTAGGAATTGTATTGAATAAGCTGGAATGGTAATATTAAGAGACAGTTCCTACAGCAGGAATGGGAATTATCTTCACTGGAATAAACTGGAATGGGAACTGAAGATGAAACCGGGTTGAGGAATTTTCATTTTTAAGACAAAACTAAAGTAGGAATCATTGGTTAAAATGGGAATTATTATATCTAGGAATGTGAGAATGGGAACTGGAATAGGAATCCCTCGGTCAGTCTAGAGTAGGAATTGCCTATTTTTCTTGACACTTCACATTGCCTATTTTTAGTTAACCGGAATGGGACTGTTCTTGTCTGGAATTAGCGAAAATCTAACGTTGGAATGGGAATTTTAGGTGAAGCTGAAGTGGGAATTGTCATCTCTAGGTTCATGTGGGAATCGACTTCATTGGAATTAGTTGGAATGGAAATTAAAGAGTAAGTTAGAATGGGAATCTTTTAGAGTTAAATTCGTACTGTGAACTCTCTCTCTTTCTCTCTCCCTCCCGCCCTCCCTCCCTCCCTCCCTTAGTATTACTTCCTCTTCCCTCCCTCCCTCCTTTCCCTCCTTCCTATCCCCTCTCTCCCCTTTCATTCCCTCCCATTATTATCCAATAACTCTCCATCTCCCCCCACTCTCTCTCTCTCTCTCTCTCTCTCAGGTAAAAAACAAACACTAATCTTATAAAGTTACAACACAAGTCATAACTATGTACTGACTGACTGACTGACTGATATTGTTTTCCGCACAAGGAAGTCTTTGTGTACGCTTTATCATATACGCTGCCAGACGTACAATTACTCCCTCACTAAGGTTAGATTAAGTTAGATTAATTTAGATTATTATAAAGTTAGGTTAGGTTAGGTTAGGTTAGGTTAGGTTAGGTTAGGTTAGGTTAGGTTAGGTTAGGTTAGGTTAGGTTATATAAAGTTAGGTTAGGTTAGGTTAGGTTATATAAAATTTAGTTAGTTAGGTTAGGTTAGGTTATAAAGTTAGTTGTAGGTTAGGTTAGTTATATAAAGTTAGGTTAGGTTAGGTTACAGAAAGTTGGTTAGCTAGTTAGGTTAGGTTAGGTTAGGTTAGGTTAGGTTAGGTTAAGTTAGGTTAGGTTAGGTTAGGTTAGGTTAGGTTAGGTTAGGTTAGGTTAGGTTAGGTTAGGTTAGCTTAGTGAAAGTCTCTAATCATCACGTGAAATGAACTTGGGGGGGGGGGGATGGGCTAATCCTCAGGTGACCCCTAAAATACCCTTAAGGACCCCCCAGGTGAACTCCCTTATTGGTGGGCGTCTGGGCTGAGGTTCACAAGGGTAGGCGTCCCTCTCTATTTCCCCTCACCACACCACAGCAACCTAGATTACTGTTTCTCCCCTTCTTCCCCCATTCTCTTCCTCCTCTCCCCTTTAATGTTACACCTTTAGCCACCCTTTTCCCCTTATTCATATCCCTTGACACTAGGTTACCACCCCTTTGATTTCTGTTGTCTCCTTGGCTAATTCTTTTCCTTCCTCTCTCCCCTTGACCCTGACAAAATTTCACACCACACCCTTAGCTTGTCACCTTGCTCTACATCCTATTGGTCAGTCTCCCCCTCCCCTTGACAAAAACCTTACAGCACACATCACACTTTATTTCTCCCAGGTTACAAGTCCATCATCCCCCTCCCAACTCCCCCTCCCTCCCTCCCTCCCACCACCAGCTGTTGTAATAAACTGAAGGTCCTATATTGACACGGCGCCTCTAGCTCCTCCGCCACTAAATACGGGAAGTTTAATAAAAGTGTAACATTGTCGGCTAAATACCTATTCGCATACAGCCCTTCCCCGCCCTCACTAAATTCCAATACAAGTTCTTTCAAACACACACACACACGCACGCACACACACACACACACACACACACACACACACACACACACACACACACACACACACACACACACACACACACACGAGTCTCTACACCACCAGCACCACCGTCGGCTTGGAACAGCCCGTCTGGTGAATGGTCAATATTGCTACTGCATTGCCCTCCGCCCCCTTTCATATGCGGCCATTATTGCCAATATCCAGGCTGCAGGCACGTACATAAGCGCATTTGCAACTTCACCTCACTGAAATGGCGAATTCAGATTACCCAACTAGCATTCAAGTTGCTCATCGAGGCGGCACACCGATCAGAGCCGGTGACAAGGGGTGTGACTCTCTCTCTCTGGGCTATATGTTGTCCTCCCCATTACTGCCTACGTTAACCTCTAATATCTGCAACACGGGGGAAGACAAAGGTGCAATACACACACACACGGCCACGTCCGCTTTTAACTTGTCCTGCACGGATGACACTATTTGGCCCCCCCCCCAGACACTTAAGGCTATTGAGGCCCCCTGTGATATGGGCGAGTTTAGAGGAAGGGAAAGTGAGAAAGAGAGAGAGAGTGAGAGAGAGAGAGAGAGACGACGAAATGGTCTTGTATCTCTTGTCTCTGTGTGTATGTGTGTGTGTGTGTGTGTGTACTGTATGTGCGTTGGTTGATGTGTTGGTGAGGGTGTAACATTGATGGTTGTGTGTGTGTGTGTGTGTGTGTGTGTGTGTGTTTTAGTGCCATATTTGCTCCCCCTGTACATATCATCCTCTTTATTGTGTGTCTCTCTCTCTCTCTATCCCCTTGTTCGTCTTTCATAAACAGGGAAGAGAGAAGGAAAGACTCATCCTGTCTGTTTATGGTCTATGTATGTATGTGTGTATGTATGTATGTATGTATGTATTTATGTATGATGTATGTATGTATGTGTGTATGTATGTATGGGATCTTTCTTATCACCTTTGTATATATTTATTTGTATATGTTTATTTGATGTATTTGTTGGATGTAAGTGTGTTTGTTTGTAATTGTGATATTTTGTATACATTAGTTGGATTTTGTTTGTAATCGTGGTCAGTTGGTTGGTTTGTGGTGTTTGTAACTGTTTTCTTGTTTTTTGTGTTTGTAATAGTGATGAGTTTATTTGTTTGTCATAATGGTTTGCAATTGTGATTTCTTGTTTGTTTGTTCTTGTGTCTGTATGGTTTTTTTGTTATCGCATGTGAGCAATATTTTATAGACGTATAATTTACAACTCTCTCTCTCTCTCTCTCTCTCTCTCTCTCACTGACCCAATCCTCTCCCTCACTCTCCCTCACTCTCCCTCTCCCCTCCCATCCACCTCTCCCTCCCTTTTACCCATTCCTCTCTCCTTCCCACCAACCAGTCATCCGTTTCTCTCCTCTCCCTTTACTTAAATCTCCCCTTTCCACTTGTATCCTATCTCCTCCTTTGTAGGATCCCACCTGTAGGACCCTCCCTGTAGGACCCCCCCTGTAGGACCCCCTTGTAGGACCCCACCTGTAGAACCCCACTTAGGAACCCCTGTAGGACCCCCCTTGTAGGACCCCACCTGTAGGATCTTACCTGTATCCTGTCCTCGGGAAGGTCTAGCTTGAGGGACAACATCTCACGGGCGTACACGTCGGGGTAGTGGGCGTCCTTAAAGGCCTTCTCTAACTCCTCCAGCTGGTAGGATGTGAAGATAGTC